AGATATCCTGAGTTTTGAAGGGGCACGACCATGACGTTGCGCAACTCCACCTAGAATAAATAAACATACCTTATTTAAATTTGGCAACAATGCAGTGCATTCAGCGCAACTGCTATTTTTGATCAGCCACTAGAATTCTCCTTCTGACCGCCTGTGCGTCTGTGACGGTTGCTGTATCTCCGCCACTTATTAAAAAAATAAATTAAAAAATGGCGCTTTAATTAGAATTGTAATTTTGCAGAAGAGTGCAAACTCAAAATTATTCTGTGGCCATATGCTGCAGGCGTGCAAAGGCAAACAAGGAAGATTAGAATATTTTGGCTTTTATTGGAATATTTTCTCTCTGATGCCTCGGGATATTAAAGCATTACAGAGACAAGGGTGACAAAATCACAGTCCACACCACCAGGAAAGTGTTCCTGTGCTCGTGGTTGTGTTCGCGGCTTGATGCAGCGCCTTCGGGCACTTCCACTGAAAAGTGCATTCTGGTGTTTTGTGTTGTAGTTTGTAACCCTTTGCTCTCATCACTGTGGATGATCTTTTATGTGACATCCTGGTCAGTTTGAGAGGGAAGTTGTTTACTCGAGGCATTTGAGGTCGCGATGAATCTGCCGAGACACATGTGATGAAAAGGGCAGCTCCAGGGAGTGACTTAAGAAAAAAAATAGTGGGAGTGCTGGAAGCACTCGAGAAGGTCAAGCTGACCTTGAAGGGGAGCTCAAATTCAGGTTGGGTATAGTTTTTGCTTTTTATAGACAAAGTTGCAAACTTTTGATTGCATTTGTAGGTCAAGGCCCCAAATCGATGAATACTAGTGTCGAACTGAATATCTGTAAATTTCAAACTATATATCTGCACTTGGTAATGCATGGTTCCTGACGGGGAGAAAAAAACAGCGCCCCCTAGCATAAAAACTAATCAGAACTCGGAGTAACCTTGATGGAATCACAGTAGTTAATTATTCAGGCTTAGCAAAGCACCTCCAGAAGTAAAGGCCTTATTCAGAGGCTGAGAAGCACATGTGCCAAGCAGTGTGTAGAAATGTGTGGATTGGCCCTTTACTCCATTACTTTATCTAAGGCATATCTAATTTGTCTCAACTACAAACATCAGGCCTCTACTTCAGGTGGACTCCTAATATATTGCTGTTGTTATCTTTCATCAGAGACCTGACAGATTGCAGGCCAGGGGTTATAAAGTTGACTCGCTGTTCATTAATGCTAAGAAAAACTTTAAATTGAGGATTTCTGCAGCGCGCTGGGACAGCATAATAAAACATCCCCGCAGGTTGTTTGATAAGCAGGAAACTGTGGAGGATGCTCTGTTTTCAATCAAGCCTCAGTGGGAATTTCCACTGCAGCGCAGACACCAGAGATGGTACATCAATCACACAGAAATGTGCCGAATTACAGTGAGCAGCACTGTTTTTTAATGACATTAACCACTCGGCCCAAAAGCTGCTTGGCTAACCTTGTGAAGCATTGTGCCACTTGGTTACTGCGGGTGAGAAACAATATAATTCTCTCTTCATTTTCCCCCCAGAGTGTGCTTTATATTGATTTTGGGGCTTCTCTTTCAGAACATCTTCATCAAAGTGAAGCGTCCTCCCTTTCTGCTGTGAACACCAAACATAAAAGGACAAATTCATGCTTTATATTCTCTCTATAACGACGTAGACTTGCAGTTACGTGGCCAAATCAAAGCCTTTGGATCGAAAAGACCAGAATGGCTAGTGATTAAAAAAAATCAGAAGATAATGATTCAATTTTCTATGTTTGTTTTTATTTTTAATCCTTTTTTTTTTTACTATTTAACTGATGATGGATGTTATGTGTTGAGATAAATTTCATGCTGGATTAATTAAAAAAAAAAGTTTGGCTGTTGTAAACCATGTCTGTTTTTTACTGCCAGGGTTGAAACCTTTTATAGTTTTTTTAATGCATCTTAAATTCAGCCCCTGACAAACAAACATCCCAGAGAGAGCAGATGGTTCCTCGCTTCTTCATGGTCATATATCAGTGTTGCCGCTGCGTTTCCTTCACTCCTGGCATTGAGCTTTAACAGAGTGCCAGCCTTCTTTTTTCCTGCCTGCCATCCAGTTGCAGCAGTGAGCAAAGCTGCCAAGAACGCCTTCAAGAAACTGTTCCCTCAAGCTTCTGCGTAGCGGGCCCCTTAAAGTTTAAATTAATATAAATGGAGGTTTGTATGCATGGGGGAAAACACCAGGCGGGCGGCGGCAGCAGCTTTGTTCATTAGCAGCTGCCCCCCCTCTCTACAGAGGTGCAGGTAACTGGGTTCATGGGTAAAGGTACATTCATTTTGTGGCCCATAATTAGATCTGCCGGGAGAACTCGCTGCACAATTCAGCACTTCCTGCATGTCATGTTTTGCATTTTAAATACAAACCAATTGCGTGTGCAAATTGTTTTGTAGATTTTTTTTTTTTTTTTTTATCTTTTGGAAAAAGTGGATGAATTTGAAAGCCCTTTGTCTCCATCAGTCACACCGCCATTACTCGTGTGTAGGAGTGGGTATTTTGTTTGTCCTTTTTTTTCCCCCCCACACCTTGCCCTTTAGCTTGTAGTAATTAGCTGCCATGTACTGCGACAATGCTGTCTACTAACTAGACTTGGCAACAGTACACATTCCCTTAATTAAAACGGGACTCACGAATCAGCTCCTCATTAGTTGATTTCACAATATAATGCTCTGGACTCAGGGCCTCATTATTCCAGCAGGTCATGTTATCTGTGCTGTTGCTGAACATCATAAAGTCACCCGTCATATCCCCCCCCCCCCTTCCAAAATGCGAGGAGAGGCACCATTTTTCCAGATCCCTGATCCATTTTTATGTAGCAGCAGCAAAGAAGCATTTTATGTTCGACTCCTGCTCGCTGCTGTCAACCATACCATCAACACCTTCACCTCAAAGTGGTAAACATGGGAAAACTTCCTGCTGCTTTTAACTACATGTGAGTTGAAGTGTAAACTTTAATGCTCGCCTTGACAGATATGCCGAGCGGGAGACCGACTGCTGACAAGTGAAGCATTGGACAGTCTAAGAGGGTTGATATGCCGCTGCACTTCTCTGACTGACAGCATCCACAGACATTTACACCGACTCAATGTTGCCCCCTGCTGATCATCACTTAATCTATTTAGGAACAGCATGTTAATTATCCAGATATTAATTAATGAATTAAACAGTTGGGGAGGGGGGGGGTGGAAGTATTTGAAGATAAAGAGAGGCCTTTACAAAAGGCTAACTTTGTGTTTTCATCTTTATTCGCGTCCCATCTCTTTTTGTTCTTCTGCAGCGTTAATCCCCCGTGAATAACAAATGCAAGTAGAGACTTTCATATATTACCTCTGAACAAACAAAAACAGTGCTACAAGAAGGAGAGAAAAAAGAAAAAGACGTTTACACAGAAAGTCAGACGCACATCGAAACAGCAGGGGAGAAGTTTATGACAAGGTTATAAGACACCGGGGAGAAAGTGCGATGCGAGATGAAGTGAAATCTGCTGACAGAAATGTTAACCACAGCTGGAGGGGAGAGAAGGGTTCTGCGGCGCTCACCGTGAGAGCCAGAGCAGAAAGTATTGAATTGTGGCGGGAGCAGCAAAAAGCAGCAGACCTCCCATGGAGGAAAAAAAGGAAAGAAAAGTGAATATAGAGACGGGGTAAAGCGACGCGACATGGTGAGACTAAGACACAGGTGGGGGGCTACGAGATGTCTGTCCTAAGCTTTGGACACTGATGACATCATCTATGGATGCTGTGAAAGAGCAAATGAGGGTAGGAAAGGCTGGAGACAGCCTTGGGGTAAGAAACACTGTGGAGATCAAATACAAAGAAGTGCAGCTCATCTGAAGAAACAGAATTGATGTTTTGGGGATTGGAGGTGGATCAGTTCACCCAAATTAGACCAAAGGCATAACTGGACTTCAGTAGTACGTGGCTATGCAGGCAGTGTTTGTATTAAGAGTCGAGCTTCGGAGATCTCTCTTAAATGTCAATGAAATTCTGCTCCCAGACCCATTTTAATAAAACATATGCTACATGTTTATGGCTTCCTGTTTTCTGCTCAGTATACTGAAAAGTTTTTAGGAAATAATGAAACCAAACCGAGCAATCATAACAAAACAAAGCAAATGTTTTCCCCCCTTTGTTTTCGGGGGCGTTCCCGAGCCTCGATCCACAATTTAGTTTTAGCATTTCGCAGCTGAGAAGGTCTCACATTCACACTCTAAATCAGCCGTGCTCTTTTGTTTCTGCGACAAGATTGCAGCAGCAATTTTAAAGCAGCAGTCAATGGGGGGAAAAAAAAAATATCAAAAATCAAATTAAAATAGCTGTAATGGGGTGGTGTGGCAGAAATCTGAGCGACACTTTGGAGCGTAATAGTCACTGTGCCATCCATGATTAGATGAAACAAAATAAAATAAAATTGAGAAACATTCTTTTCTACTTAGCTTTTTAAAGCACTATCTGCTACAGTTCGAAGTCTTAATGAACGTAATATTTCTGGGAATCTGGACAGAGCAATGCACAAAACAAAAAGTGCAATAAAACTGAGTCACCTTGGGCTCTGGAAATGGTGATGATAGTTTTACAGCCTTGCCATAATGAAAGTAACGTAATAGAAGCCCTGAACAGATTTCTCAAAACAACCTGCATGGCCACATATTATTATACCTCCAAAGCCTCAGTTGATTGATCGTTTGGAGTTGTGTTTTTTTTTCTTGATATAAGGTGCAAATCAAAAGAACATCCTTCAAGAGTTTCCACACCACTAGAAGTATAAAAAAAAAAAATAGTATTTGCTTTTATAATTCGGATGAACTGACCACGTAATTTCTGATATTTCCCGTCAATGTGAATTATTTTCCTTCAGTGAAATGAGGCACTGCTCGACAGACACCCACATTAACTAATGATAATCAACAGTATTATGGATGGTCCCTGAAAGTGTACACCTCGAAAATGCTCCCATTTAAAAAAAAAGAAAACAAACCTTCATATATTCACATAAACATACTCCACAGACACACAGGTACCAATATATCTGCTGCATGGTATATATGAGGTATAGACTTTGTCTAATCTTCTACTGCATACAGTATGGTACAGCCCAAACTCTCAACAGTGAAGTACGAGCACAGGAACGACCAACGGGAGCTTGAAATTCAGTCTTTCCACACATTTTTCATCCGTGAAGAGGAAGCTCAGGAAGAGGAAAAAGAAAGTTTCCTATCTACAAGGAGAAACAGTGGACAGGTAAACAGTCACCCAGTATGATTAATGATCGCACGGTTATCACATAGTGACCAAAGTGGGAATCGGGCAGCGTAAGGATTCGCAGCTTCTGTCTCCTGGTGAGTTGAGATATGAGAGGAAAAAAAAAAGACCTCACATTCTCTTTGCTGCAACTGAGACTGTCAAAAAGGAGGGGAAAAAAAAATGTCAGTCAACCTTATAACGGTTCAAAATCAAAACACTGATCTGTTTCATCTTCGCTGCATTTGTGGGGGAAAAACAAAATTAAGAACCCATTTTCTAAATAAAGCTTTGCAAATTGCACTCTGATGTGACACGCGTCCCGGGCTCTTTTTTTTTGTTGTCATTTTGAATATTTACATTCAGTAGTTCAGTGCAGGATGAAGCAGAGATAGAAAAAGAAACTCCTTGCAAAGGAGAACCCTTAATTTTTCGACCACCAACACTGAACAGACACCCGGCTGAATCTGATGAGTGATTCTGCCCGTCTTTGTCATTTTGGAACAGCTAAAAGTTCACCCGGGTTCAGCTGCTCTTTGAGCCATCTGCAGTAACGGCTATCGCCTGCCCCCTGCTGTGCAGTCAGTCCTGTTACAGTGGACCCTCTCTCTCTTGTAGCGTTTGTGGTTCTACTTTAAAACAAACAAAAACAAAAAAAAAACAGAGTCCCAGACCCCTCCGTTGCCAGCCCATGCTCGGCGTGGGAGGTGGTTGTTGGTCCGAGGAGTCTTAGAGGGTTTCTTTTGATCGGCACCGTTCTTATCGCAGCTTGAGCTTGAAGGCAGAGATCTCCATGGGATCGAGGGTGATGGTGGTGTTGTTGGCCAGAGGTGTGCCGGAGTGCATCAGAGTTAGTGACATGGGCTGAAGCAGCTGTAGGTCCAGGTTCTTGAACAGAGCCGACACGCTCAGCTGGACAGGGAGAAAAAGGAGGAGAGCTTCAGAGAAAAATACAGACAACAGGAGACTTCTTTTAAGCAAAAGCAACACAGCACAAGATGAACTGAAAAATCCACATCTACAGGAGGCTCATCAACAAAATTGACTATGTAATTATCAGCAGTAAAAAGTGCTGCCAATAAAAAAAAAATTATTTGATCATTGTCAGTGTACTCACAATCAGCGTGGATTCTGTCGCAAGGACTACTTTAATCAACAGATGCTTTGGCAGTCGAGTCAAAATTACTTTTTTAAATGTCATTAGGCAGGATAAAAAAATTACATATGACAGAAATAACAATGCAGCTGAACTTAAATATGCTACAAAATAAACCTCTTATCATGCAAAAATGTACAGTAGTTTTATCCTGCGTGCGAGTTTCAACCCTGACCTGTCCCTGAGTGGTGGTGCAGTTGAATCCGAGGTTCTGAGCTTCGAAGTTGCAATCCAGCGCGAGACGGTGAAGAATCAAAGCGGTGTATGGAGAGGGAGACAGGGGGTCCTGCTGCTCATATGCAAGCACACGAAAAACGAATCAAAGTATGAAATGTCTAAAATAAAGTTTCCACTTTGTGAAAATCGTGTTTGTTTGTTTTTAAATGTGTCTTTATACCTGACTCTGGATGCTGCGGAGGTTCACCAGGTGGAGGTCGCAGGGGAGGATGGACTTGAGGGGAGCAAAGGTTTGTAGAGGAGGGATGCCGCGTCTTTTGGGCAGAATGGGTAAGGCCAACACCTCATGGTTCAGCATGGCATTGGTCATGTGACTGAGTACAGATGGGAAGCTGGTTGTTGCACTGTCAGTCATCTGCAGGAGGGCAAAGTCAGATTTTAAAACAGTTGTGATAAATGACTGCAGAACTATTACAGCATCTTGAGTCACCTCTAGAGATGCTCTAGTGCCACTACACGAGGGACGGGCTCTAATTACTCTGTCCGAGCAGGAGGCGTATTTCTAATTCTAGTCCAGACAGACACGGTGCTAATCACAACTTTATGATGTGAACATTTAAATCACATGCATCGTCTCTGGCAACACTTCGCCCCCGTATGATCGACAGGTTAGATGGAGAGCCCGATGATAAAACTGCAACCGATGCCTTCCATTCTCTGCCAATGTGCATTCATTTACTTGATAAATGATATCATTTGTTTCTTTCAGTCGGGCTGTCATAAAGATGAACTGGTTTGGCTACAACTGTGAGGTGGAAGGAAGGGGAAAAAACTGGAGCTATGAGCCATAACTAAAGATACAGCTTTACCTCTTGAACTCGGTCACTCAGTAATGGAGAGAGAAAAGAACGTAACAAGGACGAGAGTTTGGCAAAGAAGCCATCGTGCTGAAGGTAGTGGAGTGAGGGGGGGAAAAAGAAGAAGAGAAGGGAAACAAAATTAGAGAGTGGAGAGGATAGCAAAAAGACAGATGGGCTGGTAATGAGTACTGGAAAACAATATGAGGAAAGGTGTTAACAGATAGCACAGACGGAGAACAAATCACACACTGCACCCGACAACCTTGCACAGTCTTTCAATTCCTTGAGCCAGCTATGGTGTGCTGGAAAGACCACCGCTGCTGTCATCTTACAGACCTTGTTACTGGCTGATCTCCTCTCCAGCAGCAGCCGGAAACGATTGGCCGTCTTCTTGTTGTCTTTCAAGCCCTGACCCAGCCCACGATTATCATCCTGCATCAGTCGTCGGTCCATAATCACTTCGAGCTGGCCTGAAGGGAGAGCGGACCAGAGACAACAGCTTGAGCTCACGTATTGAACTTTCAGACTTGAGTCAATAGATGCAAACACTTTGAGCTATCTGTCATTTAGAAACATTACTAATGATGATAAAAGGATTAGCTCAGCACACAAACGTGCGGATTTAAACGGTTTCACTCTCTGAGAACCTCTTAAGGGAGAAGAGGGAGAGCTAAGTGCTTGAGTCCTAATGCACAGTAAACAAAGAAAAATACCACACGTTTCAAAGATAACTTCCATTAAAAGATTAAATGAAGAAAAATGGCACATTATTGAATAAAATGTAACAGGATACAAACCACTCTCCAGGCTGCTGACACCCAGAGCCTGAGCCGTGTGCAGCGTGAGGCGGTAGTTGCCATCCTGGATGTACGCCTGGCTGGGCATGGGATAGAAGTTGGCTTGCAAGGGCAGCTTCAGGTAGTGTTGGCGAGGCTGCATCTAATAGAAAACAGACGCAACATTTCAAATAAATCTGAATACAAGTTGTTATTTCTCCTTTACTCATGATGCTACTGACCTGGAAGCCATTGAGGTCTGTGTAGAAGACCTCTCCACTCTGGATGTCAGTGACCAGTCGCATGGCCAGCTCCTTATTGGTCTGATCTCTAATGTCCACCATGGTGGTGATGTCTATTGATAAACCATCCACCCCTGAAAATGCGAAACAAGTCAGAGGAAGATGGAAATGTTCATTAAAAACAAGACTTCCTCACGCTTAAAAAACAGAAAGTCAACGGACTCCAAAAAAAAAAAAAATCTCATTAAATTCTAAATTGTCATTTTGTTAAACATATTGGCTGTTGTTGTATTCTACCATCTGGTGTCTTTAAACATAAAAAGCCTGGGCAAAGCCAATTTGAGCTCAATCCACCAAGCAGTTTTGAGTAGTTACTACCTGGCACATTGTAGATGCGGATGGTTTGTTGAAAGTGCTGGTAGTGTGCCACCACCTCAGAGAAAAGAGGCCCCTCAACAACTCGCACCACAGGTGGCTCTTTCTGGTGGTAAGGCTGAAAGAGTAAAAGGAAGGCGAAACAGTGCGATTTCAAAATGTTCCTCAATGTAATACTGCAGATTTTGAACTTTTCCTCATCTATAGTAAATAATATCATCAAAAGACTCAGAGAATATAGAGAAATCTCTGTGCGCAAGCGACAAAGCCAACAACCAATACTGGATTTGTGTGATCTTCAGGCTCTCAGGCAGCAGTGCATTAAAAACAGGCACGATTCAGTCACTCAGTATGAGCTCAGAAACACTTCCAGAAATCGCTCTCTCTGAACACTGTGCCATCCACAAATACAGGTTCAAGTTTTATCATGCACAGTGTTGGGTTGTTGCTCAAACAATGTATCACATTCTTTACTTGATTCCTTGACAGAGAAGGTATTTGTTACACAACTTGTTAAATTACTTTCTCGTTATTCCATAATATTACCTTGGATGCATTGTCACGGTTGCCAGTTAACAGCATAAATCTACAGACCACAGTTGCGCGCACACACACACACACACCAGTCCCTAATCCTGATGAGGACACACTTAAGATTTTTCTTTTAGTTTTTACATACGAAGTCAAAGCTGACAACACAAAGTAAAGTCAAAAACCAACACAAAGAGGCTTCAAAGTGATCGCCACAGTGTTTGTGCTGCAGAAACATGAGCATACAGGAACGGAGGCAACCACCTGACTGCCCTAACCTCTAACCCTAACACTCTGCTGGGCTGGGCTGGGGTCAGCATTCACTCAACTTAAACATCACTCTGTGCTCTTGTCTAGCTTTGTGTTAGCATGTTGTCTCTGCAGATGCTTGCAAGGACATGGAGTTGTGTTAGAATTATGCAGTTGTTTTTGCCCTGGAGGCAGTTTGCACTCATCATTGTCATTTTGTGCAATGAAAATAAAAGCCATGTCCATATCTCCACACCTGAAAATCCAAGCCTTTCACCAGCTGAAAAGTTTTGGTCCATCATGAAATAAAAAAAAAAAAATAACATAAAGAAGACCCAGAACTGTTGAGAAGCTAGAGTGGGACAACATTTCTCCCAAATGTGCAGAAACTGGTCACCTCTGGTTCCCAGACATTTATACAGGGGAGGCTGCACAACAGTAAACATGGCCCAACTGTTTTGAATCCTGTAGTTGGCCTATTTAATTTAAAATAGGCCAATATCTCTTACGAAAGAGTAAAATGTCTCACTTTAAACATCTAAAATATATATATATTATGTACTATTGTGAATAAATTATAGGTTTATGAGATTTGCAAATCGTTGTATTCTGTTTTGGAATTGGGGTTGCAGATACAGTACAGCAACTAAGCTCTTACTGTCTTTAAATCAAGCAAAAATGAAGCAGTACCCAGTCTGCCTGAATTCCTGCCCCGAGCTCCCTGGGACGACACTGTGACAGTATACACAGGGGAGTCTCGATCAAAGGCTTTAGAGAGAGACAAGTAAACGTGTGACAGAGTCAAGTAAATACCTTTGCTTTTCCATCTGGCAGAAAGAGGTAAGCGCCACTCTTGTCTTTAGAAGGACGAGTGCCGTACACCATGAACTGCATCTGAACCTTCACTTCCTGAGGATCATCCTTGCGTTTGATACTCTGCAGATGAAAACAGAGAGTGAGCAGAAAGGGAAAAAACAATTAGAGAAGAGATTAAAGCTTCTCTCCGCAACAACAAGACATAGCATGTTCACTTTGATCAAACGGGAAGGATTTGTTTACAAATCAAACTCACGGCCTTTTCCTCCACCAGATCAAAGATGAAACAGATCAGTGAAACTTTAACAGATACAAAGTCAAACAGAAGTAAGAGGAGAGGAAATACAAACCTCCAGCAGGCCGGTGGTTCCAGAGAAGCCTAGCGTTAGAGACTGACTGCTGATGTAGAAGGTCTGAGAGTCGGCTTGCTGAGAGCGGACAGGAAGCGGGTCCACAGCTCTGGCGGCAACACCCCGACCAGATAGCCTGAGTAGAGTGTCCGAACGTAGTGTCATGGGTGAGTCCGGAGAGTCATACAGATGGAAAACAGCCAGAGCGAGAGGTGGGAGACGAACCATGAATGTCGCCTGGATCAGGGATTGAGAAAAGCTTTAATTTTGAACAAAAATAAAACACAAACAGCTTGTGTTTTAAAATGCTGGCTTCGTTCTTCGTGTTACACAGGAATGCAAACGTTGACCACAAGGCATTCATTAAAACTTAAAAGCATTTACATATCAGCAACAGTGCTATAATTAAAATCTTATGAGCGACTGTGCTTAAAATGAAAATTCATTAGCCTCTGTTGGTGGAAAGCATTTTTTGGGAAAAAAACCCATTTAAAATTCAATTACCTTAAGATTTAATAGATTGAGGCAGTTTATTTTTTATGTAATTTTCAATAGCTGAAAAAGAACATCTGTCCTAGTAACAACTTGCAGGTAAATAGAGAAAAAGAAGTAAAACTTTTATTTAGAAGACTAAGTGCTTTTAAAACACACATGATATACTTTACATACAGTACATCCTCTTGGCTTTTCTCTAAAGCAACTTAATTTCTTCTTCAAGACACAAACACAGTGAGCAAAGCTGCACAAACCACCAACCTCACGAGTCTACCAAATGAGCTACAGCTGCCCCAACTCTATGACTCAGCATTTTGTCACAAAGACGACGGCATGTGCAAAAACGTGGCATTTAAAATTTGCCTTTTGTTTTTACTCATGTATGCAGTTATTATCTCGTGGAGTTTCATCCGCTGGCCAAGTTACAGTAAACACACACAGAGAATTAAACTTGTCTAACACTGTAAAATCTATTGTATAAGACTTATACTCACATAAAAGCAAAATATTCCCACTTTAAATGCACAAATGTCCACCTCCTGTATGTTATCAGATAGTAATCTGATCTAACTTGGCAGCTTTTCAATGTCTTTATAGCTATTCTCTTTTCAGTTGAGCATAATGACTTCGTATTGTGTTGCGAGTCTGTTCTGTGGTTCTAGAGAGTCTCTGTGTACTACTGTGCTACTGATATGCCAATATACGGCAGACGGTACAGAAGCCTGCAGACCAGGACCACCCGACACAGGAACAGTTTCTTTCCCCTCGCCATCTCCCTTCTTAACAGTTGACCTGTCACACTGCTCCCACTGCCAGACTGCAGCTGCACCTTATGTACATTTTGTAGTATTCATTCCACCTCATTCATTTCTGTATTTTATGTATATAAGTTTAGATTCGTTATTTATAGTTGGTTTACACAGCTTTGTGTATGTATGTGTAATGTGTATATATAGACACGTGTGTGTGTGTGTGTGTGTGTGTGTGTGTGTGTGTGTGTGTGTGTGTGTGTGCTGTGTGTGTTTCTTGTGTGTGTGTGTGTGTGTGTGTGTGTGTGTGTGTTTACATTGCTGTGCTTGAGAGCCACCATCTACCGGAACAAATTCCCTGTATGCGTCTGCACATATACTTGGCCAATAAACACGATTCTGATTCTGATATCGCTACGCAGAAACCAGCATCCAAATGAAGTCAGTGCCTTACCTCAAACACCTCTGCACTCATCTGACTCGCAGAGCTCCACTGAGCACTCAGCTGTACGGGAAGCGTCTGTCCATCCTCAGTAAGCACCCGAACCCTGACTGTGTTAACCAACACGGTCACCGCGCATAGCCTCTCTCGCTCAACTGGGTTGAACATAACCAGGTACCTGATGGGGAGGGGGGAAAAAAAGGGGGAAAAAAAGGAAAAAGCAATTATGAGCACAGGATGGTGTAGGAGTAGGTGAAAGAGAAGGCGGGGGGGATGAAAGATGCAAGATGATGCAGATAATACCTTGGTCCTGCAGGGTCCAGCTCGATTAAAGTGCGCTGAGGCATAGAGTCTTGAGTAGCACGCCTGTCATCCTGTAGAAGGAAAATATAACACAGAAAGCACAGTGAATATTCAAGAACACACAAATATGCAGGTCCGTTTGTTTTTTGTACGTGAAGTTTGCATTTACCGTCTCCAGAAAAGGCTCCGTCTGGTAAAAGCGATAAAACTCTTTGTTCTTCATCACCAGGAAATGAGCAGCATTAATGATCACTCTCTTCAGACCAATAAGTGACCGCAGTAATCTAGGTAGGATGAGAAAGAATGAAAGTGCTGCACTTCAAGGAGACACCTTCTTATTTGCAACACATTTGTATCGAACAGGCCAGTCACAAGAGACTTGAGATTAAAAGCGAGATAGTAATCGTCCTAACTCCCTTCGTTTCTTACTTGGTGCCGTAGTCGATGACAACATTTTCTTTTGCTGTGCCAGTTATGGCGTCGTGATGCTGGAAGAGGCCAACGGAGCGCCTGGCATCCACTAGCAGGGAATAATCCGAAACCGGGTAACGCCCTTCCATGCCCGCATGCCTAGCATTTGCAACCGCCAGGCTGTAGAGGATCTCTGCCCCCCTGAAGGACAGTGACATATAGTTATCACGAGGGACACCTTTAAAGTACCTTTAGTCAGCTAAAGGTGCGTTCACATTATCTGACTACAGCAGTGGCCAAACTATAAGATCTCTACTGATTCATCACAAAAATTTCCAGTTGGACTTTAAGTTTTTGATGGTTTAGTGAATAGGCACAGCGATTGGTTAGAGAGCAAAAGGACCAATATTTTTTTCTTTTTTTTGACTGTGGGCAAGTGTCAACTGACATTCTCGATACAGAACTTGGTCAAAAACATTTGATGCTGCAGGTTAATTTGTATAGCAGAAGTTAAAGACACAGGTAGGTCCCTTTACACTGGAGTCCACACCTTAATTTTTTTGCAGTGCAAAATAGTCCTTTCCAAAATTTGTCCAAATAACCAGTAGAGGATAACCAACACATCCCCAAATCTGAAGTCAGCAATATTAGTGACTAAATCTGCCTTACCTGAGATGGGACTCTATGACGCGGTCCATACTCTTGTAAAAGGGTCGGGAGGTAAAATAACCAGTCCAGTAGTGGTCTTCACGGTCTGCGTAGGCAAAGAAATCTCCACTGAGCACCGGGTAGCCTGCCGGCCTGGATCCCTGGGCCACGCCGTTTGTTTTGTATACAGCGCTGAAGTAGTCTGTGAGAGTCCCAAATTGTGCCTGAGGAGCCGATTGACATGTAATTTTTTTTTTTTTTTTTAAATGGGCGCTTTCAAACACATCTGAACACAAGAAATAAAAAGCCTTTCAACATTAGGCTTGTGCCTTTCATCTTACATGACATCTTCTGCACCAGATATCAAGTCGTGACAGATTCTTTGTTCTGTCAGCAAGTTAAAATACCACTGCATGATTCATTACCATGAGAAAGGTTGAATGCTGAACTACTTGGTACACTACACACTGAGATGGAAGAAGAAGATGAAATACAGGAGGGAAGGAAAAAAATATTTCGCTATAAGATTTGTGACAGTTGACAAATAAATTTCTCACTTGTACATGCATCTCAGGGTGAGAATTCATGTAGTCAAACAGCTTCTGGTAGTTGATATACTGCTGATCCCACTCAAGGGCTTTATCATAGCGGAAGTCATCCCCCAGAGGAACAAGGAGCACCTTACTGCGGTAGAGTTTCGATTTTTTACGGTACTGATCCAGGAGCAGCTGTGCCCTGATTGAGGAAAAAAAGGCAGAGGGGACACTTAGGACATATTTCTTGCCATCCAAGCTTCTATGCTTTGCATAAGACACTTTTCTAGGAAATCACTATGACCTTGGAAAGAGGAAAGAGGAACGATGATCAAATTACCCCTGGAGGTATTCTCCACAGAAACACCTCTCTGAAAAAAATCCTTAGGTCCTTGAAAGGCTGCTTAATGTTACTGCAAGAGCATCAGTACTCCATGTCCCAGATTTGCTAAAGGTTGAGAGCCAAAGGAGCAACAGACACAGCATGGACAATCATTTTTACTCCTTGCCTTATTGCATATGGATTTTTTGTTCCTGTCAGGCTGAAAAATTTGAAGAGGAACTTATTTAAATAACTCAGGCAGGATGATTATTTCTAATTGCACTAGTAGTTAATGTAAGAGCTGTCTGTCTGTCACGTTCTCTCCTTTAACTTTAATCAATAAATGAATAAGTGCTTCTTTTAACTGAGATGGCAAAGCTGCAGTCATTTCATTTATGCCTAGTTAGTCAGGTTCAGGCAGTCAATAATGGTATGTTCCTCTATACATTCGGGTGGTCAGTTTTTAGATTTATATAGTTAATACAGTGTGTGTTACAAAAAATGTTTTGGGGTTGTTTTTTTTCTTTTTATTAATCTTTGGATGACTCTGTTTTCTGACCTATCAGGATTTATCCAGCAAACAGCTATCAGCACTTCCAAGGCCACACCTGGTCCAACCAATTTCTGACCTAAGCTTTTGCTCTAATGTGTCATAACATATGAACTCTCATTCCGCTGTCATTCCTTGGTCTGAACTGTCCAGCTGTTCCCTGAGAGAAACATATGTGAAGCAGCACGATAAACCCCAGCCAAAGACGCAGATTGAGGATCCCAGCTGTGACCAGGGCCAGTCAGCCAGTGAAATCTGCCCCATTGGATATCTATCTTTAACCTGTTGTGATGATGCTGTGTGGATTGTGATTGAATGAGTTGTAAACCCAGTTTCAATCGTTTACAAATGTGCTACAAATGAATATTTATCCATTTCTATCTTTACTAAACCACAATAGCTAAATTGAATTAAATCTGTTTTAACATGTTAATCTACAGGTTTTACATTTTAAAACATTTTTTTAAACTGGACTTTAGCCTGTTTTTTGTTCCGTGCCGCATCACATGGACTGTTTTGCTCATTACTGAAATTACTCGTTTTTAAAGTTTATTTAAAACTTTTCACTGTACTCTGAGCTTTTTGTACAGCTTAGTAAATCTGGCCCCATGTCTGGTTCCCTCTGTTCATCCAACCTCTCTGACTATTGTTACTGGCACAACTTCAAGCTGAGTTTATTTTTAAAGGGACCATTAAAGAAAATAGAGTTGCAACAACAGCGAAACAACCTGGGCTGTGTGTTGCTGGGCTGAAAAGCAGCACAATGTCAAAAGTTACATATTATACTCTAAACAAAAATGCTTGTTTTTTGCATGTTATGCAAAAAACAAGCATTTTAGTCTACTCCAATTTTTTTTATGTAAAGGTCAGAACAATATACTGAGCAGAGTATGTTAGAGCTGTAATTTACAGCTGTCATGAACAGAGTTGGTCAAGTTACTTGAAAGTAATAATTAGTTACTAATTACTGATTACTTCTAATTAGTTACTTATTATTTATCTACTTTTTAAAAACATGATACACAACCTAAATATGTAATAAAGCAATGGACCTTTCAGCCCAGTTCTGTTTTATTCGACATAATCCATCATATAAAATTAAATCAAATCAAAAAGTCTCTTTTCGAAAATTGTTTTATCAGTTTTAATCTTTTAACTTCATGCACATTGCATCAAGCAAAATTTAAATGATATGCAACAGTGTTTGACTTGAAGAAATTTGTTTTAACATTTATCAAACTTAAAGTAATGTCAGTACTGTTTCTGCCACGGACGTCGCATGCTCGAACGTCATAGTCGTGAGACACTCTCACAGACAAACACAAAAAAAAAAAATCACAGTTTAGTAATGCAGTAATGCAGCATGCTTATGGGAAAGTAAAAGTAATCCAATTACTTTTTTGCAACAGTAATCCCTTTACTCATTACTTGAAAAAGTAACCGGATTACAGTAACGTGTTACAGCTCATATATGGTCATGACTCACTCATATATTCTGCAAATCTCTGTCCATTTGTATACTGAGCCATTAAATAACAGCATGTTCATTATTGATTATTCTGCTAATACATCACTTGTCTGGTCTACAGACCTAACCCAGAAAAAAATTAAGCATGAAATCTTTTGCTCCACGGTGAGCATCCACAAAGTGAAGACTTACCTCTCTGCTACGTTGGCTTCCACAATAGTTTTTGGTGGCACTTTCCAGGGACAATTTATCCTTCCGCCTGGTAGCCTCTTGAAGTCAAACTGGCAGCAGATCTTTGGATCAGGTCCACAGGTGTGAGGTACATCATAGCTATAAAAGGGCATCATGTGGCAAAAGATGTCTGTGTTTGACCCCATGTCTGTTAGGGTGGCAAAGTAAGGACAACAAAGCACTAGCATGAGAAATACTGACAGAAAGAACACATTTTGCTCTGAGCAAAGATGATCACACACATATCAGTGCTTCTAGAACTGCTATCAGTTTAATTTTCAAAACCTAGCACTGGTTAAACACTGGACAGTATTTAATTACAGAGTAATTCTCCCTAAATAGTGACAGTAACATATTGATATTATCTGGCATATCAAATTTTTCAAATTAAAATCTAATGAACAATAATCTTTGGCAGACATCCAGTTTAATCAGAAAAAATAATGACGGCAGCTCTTCTGAGGCCATTTTCACTGGTTGTCCTTCCAAAAATTCCTCTTTCAAATGCCATAACGAGTGCCATGACTCATTCGGCAATGAGCTTAACAAAGACAAGCACATGAATCAGATGACATCAGCTGTTATGGTCCACTCACCCCATGCCTGCCTCCACATAAACTCCAGATTTCGGGTGGAGGCAAAATGTTTTTTAATGGAGTAGTGGATCCTCTGGATGAGCATGCTGGTCAGGTTGGCCCTCTTCAGTAGATAGGGCATAGTAGCACTGTGACCAAACGGGTCTACAGCCCACCCGCTGCGAGGAGTTATACCTATGACAGCAAGCAGGAAGCAAAGTATTTCAGGTTTATCCTTGGATAAAAGAGGAATACATCTTTTAGGAAATCACTCTTCTCAGTGGGATGCAGTGAAAGTAGCACAAAGCATCTGAGCACCCACTGAGTTAGAGGCTACATCTGCTGCATGTAGGATGATGAGCTAGGATTTCAATACTAAGCAGTGTGAGGAGTGATAGAATTTTACATTTTTACTAGAATGAAGGCAAAAGCCCTTAAATTTCAGAGACAGTATGAAACTTTTTGAACTTTACATAAACATTACTCTGAATATAAATGATATCCGCTGAATAATAATAAATTTTCTTGAAGGATTGTTTACCTAGATTACTCTCCAGCCACTGATGCCCTTCAATGAGCTGGTCTATCATGGCAAAGTAATGGGCATTGGCTTCATCCGTCATCACCCAGCCTCCTGTCACAATCTCTAGCTGTCCTCCGAGGATCAGTCTGTTAAAAAGAAAGGATTAAGACAGCAAGGTGAGGATAATCCAGCCCTAAAGAAGGAGAGTCACATTAAGGAGATAATGAGCTATTTTTAAGATTTCACAGTCTAACATATTGTACTTAGGGCCAGTCTACATCAAAGAAATCTCACTGAGTTCTCTGTTTTTGAGTAAAAATAAAAGGCAAAGCTGTGTGCTTCACAAAGCTATGACTAACTTGCGCATTGCCTCCTGTTTGTGTACATCTGCAGTCTCCCACCACTTGGAGAAGAATGAAATCTCAGACCAGATGAACTTCCTGCGAGGATCCTCAGCCAGCTTCACCACCATGTTGTTTAAAATATGTTGCGTCTGGTCTGTGAAATACTTGTCAAAAGTCTTGACCCAACCTAACAACACAAGAGGACAAATCTGAGCAATCTGCACAGCCACTGGCAAACATTCATACAAATTACACCGTGAAATAATTCACTCCTACCAATGCTTATCCAAACAGAGCTAATACAAAGCCGTGAAGAAAGCGCACGCAAAGAGACTCAGTGCTGGATTGTCACGGATCAAAAATAAAACTTATGTTTTATTCAACTAGAGCTGTTCCCCTCTACAACCTTTTTAGTAAAGTGGTTTCTAAGAAAAATGACTAAAAAGCACTCTCTTTGCATTTTAAATGTGCAATAGTATACTGCAGCCCACAAAGCTCCTCTAGGATATCTCTTTTGCATGTTGTAATCGAATACATTTTATAGCAACTAAAGTTCCACATCATGTGGGAAATATGCAGAATCAGAAGAAATGCATTAGAGGTGAACAGACTATTCCCTAGTTGACTGCTTACATTAAGACAATCGTTTTTTTGCATGAAAGGTTTTCTGAAATTTCTATGTCTAACTATGCGAATGAGACATTACCTATCAAGCTACGTGCCAATTTGCATACAGAAGAGAAGAGAAATGTAAATATTGGAAACAGTCAGCTTCAATACTTCAGTACTGATTCAATACACATCTGTCTAATAATTTTGATCACATATTACAACTTAAAAGCCTTTTAAAGAGGTGATCTGAAATGAAGCTCATAAATCAGAAAGTATTGGAAAAAAGTACTGTCACTTTTCGACACGAACATATCATTTTAGAGAGGAAATGCTCGCTAACATAAACCCTGGATGACATATGAACCTTGGAGAGGAATAAAACTGTAAAGTCTGGCATATGTGGAGTGTGTGAGTGGAGTATGACCAAAACAATGACCTTTAAAGCTACGCATTGTAAAATTTCATACATTTTTACTAGGAACTAGTATTTCAAATAGCAGATATCACTATGAAAATTCTCCATTTATCTACTGACATTAAGGCAGTTATTTTGTTTTATTACAATTTTTCTGAAATGTCATTTTGCAAATTAGGTACTATTCTATTCAGTATACACTAATTTCCATAAATAAGCAATAGACAAAGTGTTGACAAATAAACACATTTAGTGTTGTGGAAAGCAAACAAACGCTGTTTCTTTCACATTGTTACTTTAAACTCTGGATTCTCCAAAGTGCAGGACCCTATCCGCTGGTTCACCTTGAGCGCAGCGAAAGAGTGCACTGCCTTCCTTCCTACTTTCTCCACTACTTTTAATTTAATTGATCCACAGCTCATTTCATACCGTGACTCCCTTCAAACTCAACTTTTCCATCCTAGTCATCACAGCAGACTAAACCTTCTTTTTATATATTCCTGGTTTCAAAAAGAACACCTCCATAATAATTTAAAAAAAAAGCTTTAACCTAGCACAAAATGACAACTTCCAAGAAAATCATGCGCTGCCTCCTGCATTCTCGCTACAGGAAGCTCCCTCACCAAGTGAAGCACAATATTCCCCGTTGTGCAAATGTGTTTGAAGTCTACTCCTTGCTGTGTGTTCCATGTGAAAAAGGATAATTGTAGAAAAAAATCCCAATCTGACTCTTACAAAACTGTTCAAAGTTCATTTGTGAAGCTTAAACAGCTTCAAGTGTTTGATATGTGCCTTTTACTCACTCTCTAAATTGGCATTCAGTCATCAAAACCTTCGCAAACCCCATTTTAAACTCTTAATATCAGTTTTCTGCTTTAAGAGAATTCAGATAAGATCTGCTTTCATGTCTCTTCAATAAGAGCTGAGATTATTTCTGTAACTAAATCACCACTCTAGCTGGATACAACACATGTTTATAACTTTTCAGCAAAGTTTTAAATAATGCAATTCAGAATGAAACCTATTCCCACTGCTGATGGACAAAATTTCCAGGTCTTTCTGGCCTGTCAACATATCAATAACTGTCAAGTTATCAAGCATGTGGCACAGGCGGGTAAACAAACTTAATGGAAATGTCAGTCTAAAATATAATCTCAGCCAATCCCATCTATGAATTGTTCCAGTTTTCCATTGGCAATATCTTCCTAATTCCATTGTTTGTTGCTAAGCCGTCAATCATGTCAGCATTATGCTAATAATAATGAGAACAAATGAATCCAATATTGAATGAATTTTGCATCCCTACAAACTAGCCTCCCACTCAGTTAAGTCCTAAAGTACCAAACTATTGAAACAAACTGCTCAGACGTCTTTTAGACTGTCTCACAAAAAACAATCTGATGCAGAAGCGCTCGGTTATGTTCAGTAAAGTTTACGTAACTCACCTGGATCATTGTGCGAATGAGGGACCACAAATACTTGCAGTGGTTCGTTATCCCACTCATTAGGTTCATAAGTGATGTCAAAGCCCTGCTTCCATACACCACCATCAGGGTTGTCAAATTTGAGGAGGGAGTACACATCTAGCATCTAAAATAAAACAATTAGCGCTCCCTGTTAAGACCCCAAAAATATTCTTAAAGTTTTTTTACAGTAGCTACAACAACACAAAAGTCCTGGCCAACCTGGACGTCTCGTTGATCTCTGTTGCCTACAGCAAACTGACAATCCTGCGGCTTAACAGCAAGGAAAGTGGGACGACCATCGAAGGGTAGGACCCAGGAACCGTTGGCACTTCTGAATGGCAGGTGGCCACTGGGAGAGACAGCTCCTGTGTCTGTGAGCTCCATTACAGAATCCTTTATGTGGCTGATGATTTGATGGTTTTCCTCCAGGAGCTGCTCCAGCTGCTCAATCCTGTTCTGCAGGACTGAAATTTGGCTCTAAAAACAGACACAAAAATATGGATTAACACAAGAGATCAAACTAGCATTCTTCTGCTCTATTAGTGTAGTCAAGTTATAGCTTTAAGAGTAAAAAGCAGATGATTTAGAAACGTCAACAAAGGAGTGTAGGACATTTAAAATATATCAACCAGTAAATAACTATATTATAACAAATGCATGATTGGAGGTGTCCATTTATATGTAAATTTAAAAAAAAAAACAGAGTGAAACATATTTAGACTAATTAGCAGTCGGGCCTTAGAGGCAGGAATGTTTCTTATCATGACTTAAGGCTTGTAGTATATCACTGGAAAAAAAACAGTAAAATAAAATCAGGACAAATGTGCTATAATAAAAGCTGCAGAAAGGGTCATTACTCTTACCCGTGGAAAGTTCCCGCCGCTCTGTCGCCGTGCAGGGTCATGTTGGACTCGATCCAACATCAGATAAAGTGAGAACACAGCCACACAGAATATGGCCCCTCCACACACCGTCACCTGTTTCCTCAGCTTCATCCTCCTCTGAAGCGATATTCTTTCCAGACTTTCAATTTTTTTTTAAAAATGACCTTGACTGAAGTTTAGGGTTTTTTTCAGTACAGAGGAAAAGGTCCAGAAAATTGGAATGCAATCATTTACAATAGAAAAGATAAAGAGGAAGAAAAAAAAAAGGTTGGAAAATAACCAACTAGACTAGTATTAATGGTTCAGTTCCACTCCTGTGATGCTTCCAGCCTCCACTCACCATGTTGGAGACCACAGTGAAGAGGTTACAGCAGCAGTAGCAGTGGACAAGGGTACTAAATCAGTAATAGCTGGCAAGAAGTCTGACAGCTCTGGCCAAACCACAGCCACCGGTGGTCTCCTTCAAAGTGGCCCTTGTGCTCAACCATCCAAATCAATGAGATTGCAGGAAAAGAAAAAAAAAGTGCCACACAGAAGCGGTTCAGACAGGGAACCTAGTGTACCCACAGCATGATGCGTGTTGCTGTGGGCCTGCTCTCTTGGTCCAGTCCCTTTTCCACGGCAGAGTCTAATCCACTACAGCTAGAGTCCCCTTTTTCTCAGTTGGCCCCAAGGGCCGTAACAGTTTGCACACTAGGCAGTGAAAGTGTAAAAGAGCAGGCTGTGGAAGAAAAGACCAACTTGGCTCTGAACAGCAACTTTGTTTTTTCTAGATTTTTTGTTAGCTTTTTTTAATCAAGCCCAAACTGTTCCCAAAGCAGCTCCAGGAATTACAATGAGACAAATGTCATTCCTCTCTCAGCAGCAGAGTCACTGCATATCCAGTGTGGCAGCATGGACAGCGAGTCTGTCCTTGATCACAAGTGCCAAGTTGAAATCACATTAGAGGGTCTTCTTCAGCTGTTAGGGAAATTTTAGATTAATAAAACTTGCAAAATAGACATTTAGCCAAACTTTTTAAGAGACAGGGTGTCACTGAGCAAAAGAAGCACTAGTAAAGAGGTCTCTGTTAGAAGATATTTCTTTCTGGATCTGACAAGTAAAGCTAACAAAGGGGGAGAAAATCCATCCAAATAGAAAGCCCCAGGTTTCCTTACAGCGGTAACGGGTGTTGCTTTCCTCTGTGCAAATCCACGATAATAATCCGGTCCCTTTGTACGCTGGGACTATTTTAGAATTAGCGCAAGGACTTTGGATAATGACCTTGCACTTTTATTTGCTAAGACTGACTGGAAAAACAAGAAAGAAGATTCTTCCTTAGACTATCTGGGCCAGAGTACATCCCACATGAAAGGGTTTATTTATTGGGATGCCCGACGGAGCATACCACAGTCCCTCATTCATGTGACAACGTGGAAATGCAGAGCTGATCCTAAGGCTGTTCACATGACGACATATAAAGAGTTAGCTTCTAGAGAAGCCATCACAGTCTATGCGTGTATGTACATGTAAAATCAAATCCTCCCTAAATTGCACGTTTCGTTATACTGACTGAGGGTTGACGCGTGTGATAAGGTTTAACTTGAAAGACTTTTGCTATCCCCGGGCAGCTAGCCAAAAGACACTTGGTTGCTTTAAACTTAAGCGCAGTGAAATATTTGTATACGGAAATTATTTCCCACAAGCTCAGACAGACGACAGCAGATTCTTCAAAAAATAATTAATATTTTAGCCACTCTAACGGAGACTGTCAAACTTTAATTACCATACTTACTGCCTAACGTTAAAAATTACGAATAAAAAAAGCTAGCGCTAGCTGTCAAATGTACCATCAGGTTACGTCTACTAGAAGCTCTGTGAACTCGATTCAAGTGTCGGAAAAGGGTTAGTATGAGGACTGCAAAGGAAGCTACTGATAAATTAGGATAAACAGCTGTTACATCTGTCGTTTTGTTCCGCTGAACATTTATGTCGGTGATTACGGGCGATAGCAAGTATTGACTGATAACATTAAGACAATACGTGGCTGATATTTCGCTGCTAACCGCTCACTTTTGCCCGAAACCTCGACTACCGTTTGCGTATGACCTTGGCACCTTGTCTCATAATGATAAAATCTGACGTTACCCATGAAAGGAAAGTATTCCGGAAGAGTGTAAAGCCCAGCAGTGTACGTGGATTTAGCTGCAGGCTGACAGATTACCTAAACTAGCTTAGCAGCTAGCGCCGCTGAGCAGCTGCTGCAAAGGCTGATGGGAGGAAAGGGGGTGTGTGCTGCTGACTGACCAGCATCTTGGGTAAAATAAACATTTAGAAAGTAGCTTTTTCTATTTTAAAAAATCCATTCATCCATACTCTTCCGCTTATCCTTGTTCACATAAATTAAAATATTTTTACATTTTATACTGTATGTATGTAGGCTTTGATCCGTTATCTATTTAGCCGTATCTACTGAAATTAGATCCAGGGTCGAAATCAAAGACAGGTGCGATTTTAGGGAATCTTGAAACTGAAACTGGATTTTAAATGTACAGTGGTGTTTCCACCATTTGCCTATAGCTTCCTGCACAGACAGGCACCTGCAGGTTTTTGAAGAATCATGGGGGAATCTCCAAACAGTGTTATAGTAAAACAGTATAGTAGTGATCATATATGGTGGACATAAGTAACTGAGGTTATACATAGGGTGCCTTGAAAGATAAAGCCTTAAAAGAAATAAGATATATGTTACCAGGGAATCCATGGCCCATTTCAAAATTGACCTGAACCTACACTGAAGGCACAGAATGTGAACAGTAGAAGGGCTAATAAGTCTGTTATGTGCTGCGCCAATGGCACAGGAATAAACTGGTTATGATAATACTAAAGTTTTTTTTAATTACTCTTGCTTGTTATTACATTTTAAACATCACAGCAAACTAGATTCAATGATTTTTTTTACTGTCCCTATAAAAAGCAAGAATGTACAAGCGTTTCGTCTTTGCTCTAAACTAATTCAATTCTGAAAATTATTAATACCTTTTGAAAGACCTTTTCTACTAATGTATGTGAGAGACTGAAAAATGGAGGACAGTAGCTGTCCATTTCTCACCTACTATGTCTCAGTGGACTATGGCAGTAGAACCTTTTAAGCATAGAAATCAGACACTAATAATTAACAGTTGACTAAAAGCAAATCATCCCACATAGATAGTGCATTAAAGATAACTAGCATTCACCTGTTTTGTTTCCAGTGCTGTGCTTGTTATAAGAAACACAGGCATTTAAAAAAAAATGCAATAGAGAGTTCTTTCTGAGGTAGCTGGAAAGTTTTATCTCTATGAAATTTTTATAAAGCTACTGCAGTGGGACTGTTGTAACCCCTGCCTGCCAAAGTCCTATGCCAACAGACAAAGAGTCTTAGGCCACAGTGACAGCTGCTGAGAACCACAGTGCAGGTAAACAACAGTAGCAAAGCCCTGTGTGGAAAACATAATGGTGCATTGATGATGAGCTACACTGTTGTTTTTTGGTGGCTTATCGAAGTCTGTTTTTTGAAACAGAAGGTCTGCTGTCAGTTCAGTTATTAATGAGCAGAATACGCAGGAAATTACAGGAAATGTGTTTTACTCCAGCCGCAACACACAATAACTTCTTATAAGGTCTCAAAAAATATTAAAAGTGGTTTGCTATGTTTAAGCTTTCTAAGTTATTTCTGTACTATGGTTCCAGAAAGTCCACCAGTAATGACAGCATAATTTTCCACAAAAGGAAGGAGCAAATGTTTATTCAGCTGTTGTTGATTTCAGGCCAGGCCTTTTTTTCTTTGGGACCCTGGTGCTGTTTTAGATTTCCTGCAACTAAATTATGTAAGAGACCTTACAGAAAAGTCCAGGCAATAGGAAATATATACCAATCACCATGCTGGATATTCTTCTAAATTAACAAAGGTGCTGTGGTAATATAAGAGCCTTAACAGGTGTACCTGAGCACAAGGACCAAAGGTGACAAACTTGTCTCCAAGGCGACAGAGGACACCGAACAATAGTGCTAGACAGTATTGGTAAAAGGAGATTTCCCATAGGACTGGTATAAGAAATGCAGTACACGTCCTTTAGTGTTTTTAACTGTGGAGTTCCACTGCAAGAGACAAAGCAGTAGTGCTGACCTTAGGTTAACATATTAATTTGCAATTATATTATTTTATTTTATTTTATTTTTTACACCAAAATTCAGAATGCACTCTTGTTTCCAAAAAGTGAGACAACGTTTTCCTTGGTTCATAATAAATGAATCACTTCACTATGAGGTGCTTAAATTTTAATGTAACACATTATTTAAGTTGTTGTTCTTCTATGTATGACCTGAAGTACATATTTTGGCTGAACTGGCACTGTGGAACAACCCAGTTTGACATGCAAAACATTTTAATTAACATCCACAAACATTTCAAATGGAATCCCTAGCACGTAACATATAAATACAACAACATGCAAACTGTAGAAGACAAACACTAGTTCCTTCTTCCTGTCTTGATCAAGTTTAGTATAATAAAAGACTGTATTGCTTAATAGCCTCCCCAAGTGGACAGTGTTCACATAAAAATGTTTAACATTGTCCTGCATCATACATAGGATACTTATCTAAGTTACTGACATTTATCAGTGCTAAAAAAATTGAAATAATTACAGTAAAAGATCAATTTATCTTTGAGTGGTACTTAGTTAATCAGACTTACGCATACACTTATACAGTTAATCAAAATAACTAGTTTCTTTTTTTTAAAGGCAATAATGACAAAAGTCATAACATTTATGTTAAAACTTCACATAAATGAATTCTTAAAAATATATCATTTAAAGCTGCTCTATTGATTCAATAACTTTGAGCATTTGTGATTACATTTACAAAATGTGGCGAGTGGAGAACAACTCAGTCAGACGAGTGATTTTCCCACAACCTAACAACCCAAATGTTCTTATCATGTGTAATTCCTTTTTAAAAAATAGTTCTATATTGCTATATTACAGTTCTCAGACAGATATGGTGAATGTATGAAAAAAATGAACTGCTGGCTTTCACAACCCCTCTTTATGACATAAGTAGCCTGATATAACTCTCTGTGTCTGCATGGACTGAAGAAAGCCACATGGAATGGAAATATAACCAAATAAAGTGGAGATGGAGGCAGAAACGTTGTAGCTGTTCTCTTCCTTTTATGGTAATACAGCGTGGGCGAGAGGGGCGGTGCACGTCGTCAACGTGCTCCGACACCCGGAAGTGCAGAAAGATGTAACATGTTTGGCTGGAGTTAGCGGTGTTTGCGACCACGTATAGTAAAATAAATCTACATATTTGCATTATACTGTGTGCGACACCTTAAAGATGAGTGAGACTGAAAAAGAAAAGGTAATGTAGAAACAATTCGCTACTTTTGCCTAGCTTAGCTAATTTCACTCAAATACATTTGATCGAAGTTTCTCTGTGATCCCGCTGCTACCTTTCCCCCCGTCTTTACTTTAGGACCCCGCCGCCCTGAAAGAGGAAGGAAACACTCTTTTCAAGGCAGGAGACATGCAAGGTGCTGTTTGCTGTTACACCAAAGCACTGAAGCTGACTGACAGCCAGGCAGACAAAGCTGTACTGTACCGTAACCGCTCTGCGTGCTACCTTAAGCTGGAGGAGTACAGCCAGGCAGAGGCTGATGCCTCGAAAGGTCAGTATGTTCTCTTGTTTATTCTCAACATCACTGAATAACTTCTCTTTCATCGCGGCCCACAACTTAGCTGAAATGAAAGAAAATAGTCCGTATTAGTGCTCAAATTAGCCCTATTTTACGCGGTTTAAAGTTCATTCATCATCCAAATAGTTTCACAATATGAATATTGGCTTGTGTTCTTTTTATCAATATTCGCCAGTCACATTAACAATTATGGATAAAAGTAACTTCCTGCCTGGAGGTTTTTGGATCCTGTCCAACCTTATAAAGGTTGCACTTGCACAATGATAACAGTCATCCTCCTGGAACCTCGCCATGTACACTTTTGAATAGCCCTTTATTGTCATTGTACATCCATCCACCCATTCGCTTCCGCTTATCCTTTTCAGGGTCGCGGGGGGCGCTGGAGCCTATCCCAGCTGTCATAGGGCGAAAGGCGGGGTACACCCTGGACAGGTCGCCAGTCTGTCACAGGGCTAACACACAGAGACAGACAACCATTCACACTCACATTCACACCTAGTGGCAATTTGGATTATCCAATTAACCTATCCCCACAAGCTGCATGTCTTTGGACGGTGGGAGGAAGCCGGAGTACCCGGAGAGAACCCACGCAAACACGGGGAGAACATGCAAACTCCACACAGAAAGACCCCGGCCTGATGGTGGAATTGAACTCAGGACCTTCTTGCTGTGCGGCAACAGTGCTAACCACCGTGCCGTCATTGTACACGTACAATGAAATTGTGGGTGCTCCACGCCAACTATGCAGGAAACAAATATAAATAGTAAGACAACAAGAATAAATAAGAAACAGGAGTAATCTATAAAAGACAAGAGAAAGGCACGGAGGTTGCAAAGTGCACTTATATTACGATGTATGGGTTAGAATATGTAAAATCATAATAAATTCCACAGTCATATCAAGGAAAACAAAAAAGGTGCAGAAATATCTTATCAACCTGTACTTTGTGTATATGAGTAGTTAACAATAAGGTAATTTGCAATACCTTAAATACATACAAATGAATCTATGCGCATAATGCACAAGGATATATACGCACAGATGGCCTTATATTTCATTCATTCAGATGCTAAAAAATAGAAAAGAAACCAAAGATGCATGACAACTTTAAACTGAGCTACTAATCTGACAATTTTCTACAGATCAGCTCATCTGACTCATACTGTGTATATATTTTCTTTATACATATAGATTTAAATTGCTAGATAGATAAAGAGCCAAAGGCACTGGTCCAGCTTTCAAACTGCCCACATCCAAACCTATCACATGATTGAGTGGAACAACACTAATACATGAAGGCCCTCACGCTGCAATCCACAGTACCAAGAAAGGGTTATGCTGCCAATATCCCAGTACCAGACAGCAAAACTTCACCAGGCATCCTGTGACCATGACCTAGTAACTGTTTTGGTAGTAATGGGACACCTAAACCAGTGGTTTTAATGTTATGGTATATCTAGATTATATTTAAGTTATATTGAAAAAGTGAAAGTGTTTATTGACTTTTCTTACTTACTGTGAAGACACTACTTGATTGATAC